AAGAGCCTCGACCAACATCTTAGGAGGCTCTCGTTAGGTGGCTGGATTAAGGGCTTGATTCAGAAAGTGGTACTCCTGGACACGGCTCGTATTGTCAGGAGGTTCCTTTCTCTGGAGCCCTGACCGCCGGTAGCTAGGACCCTGTTCCCGATACCGGTGGGACACTATTTTTTATATTTTTAAATGTTTTTTTTTCTTTTCAATTTTTAAGAAATATTTAAAAATGTAAATTATATGTTTATATGTTGAATAAAGAAAATAATAATAATACTGATCTTAGTTAGAGAGACAGTTATGAATGAAGACACGAATATTGTATTTTGGTATCGTGACCTCTTAGTTCAATTAAAACGATCTAAATGAAATTAATCAATTTTTTTATCAATGTCATCAAAACAAAAAGTGCTTAATCTGTTTTATGACATAATATGGAGTTTGTTTTAAGAGATTAGTCAGGTACAGCTTACTGTTTAAGGTTTTTTTTTAATTCATATAGTAGTCTTCTGACTATTTCTATCCTACAAAAAGAGCATTACGTTTTGAATACTTTATAAAACTTTTGTAATCTAGATATCACTACTTCGTGATCATCCTCGGCTCCATTCATTGTTGTCCAAAGCCTTTTTTCATAACACGTCATTCAAGTCAACTTTTAAGGCTTTTGCTTTCAGTAAATCTTATATCATTTTTTTTTAACAGGGTAAATCAACAATATACTAAAATTACATACAATGTATGCATTTCTATGCTTATTCAAACTCTTCTCATTTTTACTGACTGGTCTCAGTTTGTTTTACATTCTAATTTACTTGTATAGTGTTGTAATTTTCTTTCACACTTTGCATAATGAGAGAGAGAGAGAGAGAGAGAGAGAGAGAGAGAGAGAGAGAGATAACGTATATTATACATATATCGTATTAAAACAATGTATGTTTGTAACAGCACCCACGATACAGGAGAAAATCCTAATGTGGGGCAACGTTTTACAAAAAGCAAAAGCAAAATATGTTGTTTTAATGTGCTTATTGTGTACAGAAAGTGGAAATACCATCTCAGTGATTTTTTTTTGTTTTTTAAAAACGTGTGTCGTGGGTTCATTTACAAACACACAAATTTCACATACACATCACACCTAGACCCGGAACAACACTTCGTGGATCACACAAAGAGTTGTTCCGCGTGATAATCGAATGCGCGACACGTTGCGCGGCAGCCGGTTGCCCAGCCACCGCGCCAACCGTGCAGTCATAAAGTCATAAAGTGATACTGTGAAAACACATTTCGATTTTCTCGTATATCGTGGGTCACACTCGGACCTGGAACAACAATTTGTGGAGTCTGATACCTTGAAAGGTATTTCATCGGTTTCTCCACATTGCATAAGTAATAATATTTTTTTAAATATCCAATTACTTCTCTCGCTCTGTGTCATAACGCGGCCTTTCGCGCGTATATAGCGATGTATGTGCTTGCACCAGCCATCCCCGGCTGGTCATCGGCCCTTAGTGCGCTTGTTAATATATTTCAATTTTATGTTACCCATCAGGTTTCCACACAGCACAGATAGTATTGGGGTGATCGTCCTGATACACCCTCCATCGCACTGTACCGTAAAAATCCTTGCTCGAAATTTCCATAAAAGTTTATGCATCTCACAAAACCACGTTATTTCTAGTAATTGTATTATCATAAACATTCAACTTAATCGTAAGCTTCGTTGCAGCGAAATTGCTCCACCTGATATTTTAAATTGTGTTTCCAACGTAAGCGGTTGCACATATTGCAGTCAACTTTAATCCATATTACTTACGCTTTATGAACAAGCATTGCATGGATTGAGATTCAAAGTTATTTGGGCATTCATGTGTGTAGGTTTCGACATGATATTTGCATTTAGCTTTAATACAGCTAGGTGCGTGCCTAAAGTGATTGATCTTTAACTTATTAACATGAAGGTTCAATTTCACTATTGATGAACTTATGCTACTATTAACTGTCTGTGCAAAGTTGTGCGGACCGTACTTTTATTGGGTATTCCAGAATTTTTGAATTTTGAATTCTGTGAAATTGTTTAAAATTTTGAATTAAATGACGTTCAGTTTTTTTTTAACTGTTATTATTATTAATGCCACCAATATTAATTTTGAATATAGAATGCAACTATTCGATGTTCTATAACCATCGCCATTATAAGTGTGGGACAGCCATGCTTCGGCACGAATGGGTCGGCTCGACCGGAGTGATACCACCAGAAAACCGGCGTGAAACAACCACAGCGTGTTTCGCGGTGTAAGTGAGATTACCAGAGGCCCAATCCTTCCCCAACCCCAACTCAATCAATCCTCAATTCCTAAATCTACAAATCCCTAATCCCTAAAAGGTCGGCAACGCACTCGTAACTCCTCCGTTGTGGGTGTCCATGGGCGACGCTGACTGCTTACCATCAGATAATCCGTCTGCTCGTTTGCCGAACTATTACATAAAAAATGGAATTAAGCACGTGCTGAAGACTCTTTTCCAAAAGTGCTCTTAGTGGTTTCTTCGGTACATTTAACAAAGAAGGTATTATAAGATTTGTAATTAAGATACCTTTACGTCTAACAATATAGAGTCTAGAATTGCATAAATGGGTATCACGCTCTATTAAAAGAAGGCTATAACTGTTTCACTGCCTTCTATAAGAAGTCGATTTACTTATATCGCAGGCAGTTCAAGTTTACGTTTTATATTCTAATTTATTTTGTACCGTTACTGAGCAATAGGCGCTAAGATTAATTAACTGAAAATGGATGGTACTTGTACGAGTGCGTCTAATTTCTGTTGAACTGCGTTCATTAATTGACTACTCCCGCTCTAGGAAAGCGGGAGTGTCAGCAAGCATGGATGTGTCTTTATTATTTTTCGGCTGTTAAAATTCGGTTCGATTTTTAAAATCGGCTGGACCGATTTGATTGATAGGTGTTTTGTATGATATTTGATTTTTATGGCATTTTATGCAAGTAAATAAATGAGAAATGTCATACCCTTACCCTTTAAGTGTAGCCGGGGTTGCGGGGTAAGCGCAATAAGGTACCGCGACCTCGGCACAGAGCAGGAGAAGGAACAGGGGGGTTTTTAGTCAGTAAGAGTCTGACACTCCCTCCTGCCCGGCCCTGGGCGGGAGAAGTCATTTGATGATTTTCCCCTCACAAAAAAAAAAAAAAAAAAAAAAAAAAAAAAAAAAAAAAAAAAAAAAAAAAAAAAAAAAACCCTTTAAGTGTGGGAGAGCTATAATTCGGCAACGATAGGGTCGGCTCGACAGGAGTGATACCACGGCCTCACAGAAAACCGGCGTGAAACTACCACAGCGTTGTGTTTCGCCGTGTGAGTGAGGTTATCGGTTGCCCAATCCTTCCCCTTCCCCAATCCCTATTCCGTAAAAGTTCGACAATGCACTCGTACCTCCTTCGTTGCGGGTGTACATGGGCGGCGCTGATTGCTTACCATCGGGTAATCCGTCTGCTCGTTTGACGATATATTACATAAAAAACCATAGATTAGCAAGCATGCTGCTTTTTATCAACATGCCTGGCGGGCGAAGGCGCGGCGCAAGCTAGTACTGAATAAAATCTACCCCGTTCCTTCGCTGTTGTGGCATATATTACGCTTGCATTCACAACCCTAGCAAAAAAATGAATGTAGGTACTGTAAATTTATTCCGGACGTAAAAACTTGTTATATAAAAAAGTTACGAACAGTTTCACAAATAGTTTTAAATATTTACAACTATTTTATTATTTTGTGGTTAAAGCCTCATAGAGAATGTTTCAATTCCACAGAAAGAGCGTTTGTGGTTTGTGGCAAAATAAATTCAACAATGTACATATGTTTTTTATTTATGAATTTTTGGTATTTACCTAATGAATATTGTGGAAAATTGTATGAACAAAACTATACCGTAAGCTGTTGCTAATAATGATTGTTTTTAAGTAGCGCTTATCTTCACCTTGTAAGTGAAAAACAAATATAATGTAACATTAAAGGAATGGAAACGGAAAAGGCTAACAAATATAAATGGGGTCAACGACCTTACCTTTATGTTTTAGGTGAATTCTGGTTAGAAAATGATAGAACCTTTTTTATCATACATTTCCACAAAATGTGTATTGTTAACCAAATTGAATTCTTTAAAATCCTAACCAAGTTATGTATCCAGCCTATAAGAGTCAACTGATGAGAAAAAGCCTCTCTCTTCGCAGTCGAAAAACATTTAAGAATTAATCAACTATTGGCGATTTCAAATTAAGATAGGGCCAGGTTCCCTCGCTATGTTTTCCTTCACCGTATGTCAGTAGTGTTTTTAATAATCTTAAAAAGTACACGTGTAAAACTCGAAAGCGGTGACATTAGTGCTTGTCAAGTATTGAACCTTTTTTATTATATAAATAACTCTCAATATACTTTCCACGCTTTTTACCAAATTTGAATCGAGTTAGCCCACGTTTTGCAAACATATTCGTAAGTACCATAATATTAAAGGACTAAAGGCTTCCTAATTTTCAATTCATACATTTTACCCGAATCCCACTCACCTTCTCATTCACGATTGAAAAACAATTCTAAATTTCCATAAAAATACGGTAGGTTTTTATTTAACCTTGAAATGTATTGTCGAACTTTTTCTATTGCGAAAAATGTGATCGTCCAAAAAAATTAAATATAAAAAGGTAATTTTTTGTACTGTTCAACCTTTTAAATATTTGAGGTTTACCCACCTCAAAAATTTACGTGGTGTTATTTTGCCACTGAAAAATATACGATCAAAAATAAGTCTACAGTCCGCCTACACTAGATTTTTTATTGAATAATATGGATGAAGCTTGGTAGCCCACTTGTCTGAGGACACGAGATGATAGAATTAAGGCACATTATAAATACCAAGGGAGTCTCTGATATTGTTAATGAAGGGCGATGTATAAATTTATTTATAATTTTGATTATTTAAACACCACTGACATGCGATGAAGGTAAGTATCGTGAGGAAACCTGGAGTTATAATTTCTTATTACAAGTTTGAAATCGCCAGCCTGCATTGAACAAGCGTGGTGATTAATGCTCAAACCTTTTCCGTGTGAGAAGAGGCCTTAGCTCAGCAGGCTCTTATAGGCAGATGATGATAATGATGATGTATAAAATCGTTTAAATTTCATAAAAAAAAATTGTAAGACAATTTCAGACACAAACTAATTTAGGTTGTATAGTCGTTCTTAATGAAAATTCTTACTCAGAAGGCAACCAATAAAATTAGCCAATTGCCTTGGGATATTTAGTTATCCCTCCTCCTCGCGTCGGTTTCCTCAGTGCTGAGGGTCGTGACCACCTCGTGGAAGCAGTGTACTGCGTATTACTCTCCGCCATCTATTTCTATCTGCCGCCGAGTGGAGAGCATCGTGGACTGTAGTGTTGAGAGTGGTGCGAATCTGATCCGTCCGCCGTATCGGACTTCTGCCTCTAGGTCTCTTTCCTTCCACCTTACCGGTGATTAGTAACTTTTCCAAGTTATCATTACCCCTTCTGGCAGTGTGTCCAAAAAACTCCAGAATCCTGCGGAGGCATATGGAAGAGAGCCTTGTCTGGATCTTAAGCTCCTGGAGGATCGATACATTGGTGCGGTGTGCCGTCCAAGGAATCCCTAGCATTTTTCGCCAACACCACATCTCGAAGGCATCAATGCGGTCACGATCGGCTTTCTTCAGGGTCCACGTCTCTGCGCCATACAAAAATATGGAGAACACCACTGTGCGCACAAGATTGCTCTTTGTTTTTAACGAGATGTTCATCTGATGTATCATCTGCGTAACGCAGATTACAAAATTTTTGTCCGCCGACGGCGATGCCACCATCCCAGTCATCACAGGTGTGCCTCATTATGTATTCGCCGTATATATTAAACAGAATGGGCGAGAGAATACAGCCTTGCCGAACTCCTTTTTCAAAACTGAATGTTTTGGATGTTGTCCCATCAATCCTCACCATTCCTTGACTGCTACTGTATAATGACTGCAGAAGTGCAGTTAAATGGCGAGGTACACCCAGTTCCGATAACACTCTCCAGAGACAGCTCCAGCTGACACAATCAAATGCCTTGCTATAGTCGACGAAGCACATCACGACTGGTGTGTCGAATTCATAACACTTTTCCACAATCTGCCTGATGTTGAGTATCTGTTCACGGGTGCCTTTTCCCTTCACAAAACCGGCCTGTTCTTGTGGGATCTGCCAGTCTAGGTAATAACGAACCCGTTTGTTTAAAATGTATAGCAGGACTTTGCTAGCGTGTGAAATTAGGGCGAGTGTGCGATAATTCTCGCATTTTTTCGTCGAACCCTTCTTGTGTAAAGGAAGGATAATCGACTGAGTCCAAGTCTTGGGCCACTCACCGTTCCGCCATACATGATTGCAGATATTGTGCAAAGTATCAACACCTTTTTCCCCTAGAGCTTTTAGCACATCAGCTGTTATTTGATCTGGACCCGGTGCTTTCTTAGTTTTCAGTGCTCCAATGGCTGCTACAATCTCCGACCGCAGAATGTCGGGTTCCAGGTCCAGAACAGGCCAGTCCAGTAGGGTAAACTCAGGATCTATTGAGATGGGCTTCTTGTAGAGATGTTCACAGTAGCAGCGCCATCTCTCTGCTATTGCGTCAAGCTCGTGCAGTGATCTCCCGTCGATGTCTTCGATGACCCATGATTTGGGCTTGAATTGTCTACTTAATAGGCGGACCTTCTTAAATAGATCTGATGTCTGTTGTTTCATAGCATGGGTTTCCACTTCGCGACATATATTAGTAATGAAGGTATTTTTGTCCCGACGGCACTCTTTTTTTATGACTCGGCAAAGGTCAGAATATTCCTTCATTACGTCATGGTTTTGTAGCCCTCTCACTTTCATATCCTTCCTTTTCTGGATGAGTTCCCATGTGTGGTCCGTTATCCAAGCTGTTTTCTTACAGTCCTTTTTTCGCTTCGATGCAATCTCAGAAAGAGACTCACGGATTCTCTTTTCCAGATCAATCCAGAGAGTATCAGCGTTAGACGTTGGAGGTGTTGGGTTTTCAGTGAGTTTGTCTTCGATCGCGTTCTGGAAGTGTAGGCGCTCAATAGGGTTCAAAGTTGTGGGTGGTGGTCGTGAGTGTGTTTTCGTCGCTTTTAGGCGCAGTGATAGGTAAGCGACCAGCAGCATATGGTCGGAACCACATTCGGCACCTGGAAATGTCTTCACATTTGTAATGGAAGATCTCCAGCGAGTATTTATCATAATGTAGTCGATTTGATTTCTATAACGATCGCCTGGAGATCTCCAGGTGTAGAGGCGTCTATCTATCTAGGTGATGTTTAAAGTAAGTATTCATGACACTTAGCCTCCTACCAATACAAAACTCGATGAGCTTTTGGCCACGCTCATTTCTAATGCCTAGACCATATTTGCCGATCGCGTCTCCGATGGTGTGATCCAGCCCCGTGTTGCCAACCTTTGCATTCCAGTCGCCGAGTAAGATTGTGATCTGCCGGCTAGGTATGTTATCTAGTGTTTTCTCTAGGTTCCCATAGAATTCATTGATATCCTCATCTGAAGCTTGTGCTGTAGGAGCGTAAATTTGCACGATATTAAGAAGGCATGGTTTAGTATTTAGCTTCATGCTGATGATTCGATCAGATACGGGATTGTATCCGAGGACAAACTTGTTCATTTTGGACGGCAAAAGTATGGCAACACCATTCCTGCTAGAGTCGTCTCTTCCTGAGAAATACAAAGTATTTCCAGTAGTGGTAGTAAAATGGCCTTGTCCACGAAGGTGGGTTGCACTAATGCCCAGTATAGAGATGTTGTGATTTTCTCTTTCATTGTCAACGATGCTCAGCTTTCCTGGCTGGAGTATTCCGTTTACATTCCAGGTTCCAATACGATGATGTGCACGTAATGAGATTTTAGTACCAGTAGCATTTCTTCCTAGGGAGACCTGGTGCTCTATCTCCCGGGAAGCATCGGTAGCAGATTTCACACCACGCGGCCCGGATACCGGGTGGCGCCGGGTGTAAGCCGGGGCGTCCGACAACACAATACATCTATTTCCTTTCATCATGAGGTGGCTTTCTTGGGAATATAAACATGGTGGGGTCCCGCGTCCTTCCATGTCAGTCTTTTAGAGGGGAATTTAATCCCTCACGGTCACTGGAGGCCGCTTCGTGATCGCTGGGTGGACACGGAGGTGGGTTACTTGACCGCCGCCCACTGCTCGGCGTTGACCTTTTACGGTTGGTTTCGTCATCTACCACTCCAACCCTCCTCCTTTTGCATCCGGGCTTGGGACCGGCAATGGCGGAGTTTGATTTAGTTATATTCGAAGTAATGTGTTAATTCTATATAACTCTAAGTAGTTCACTAGGTCCAGATTAACGTTCAAAGTGATATTAAGATCGAATTTCGTAGAACTGGTAATAAACTAGTTGAGATTTGGTTTAGAATAGGTATTATATCTATTATAGGATTCACAATACTCAAGTCGTTTACGGGCACACAGATGCAATTATGCGTAGGTAAATGATCGGAATTCATTGAAATTACTTGGACCTAAGATTGTGTGAGTAAATTCAGGTTTATTTGTATTTTGGACTGCAAAGTAAGGCATAAAACATGCATGCACGTATGTGCATTTAAATTTTTTTCAGTCGGATTGCCTGATGGTTATCAATTGGTGCCGCCAATAGACACCCTTACCAACGGAAGAGTTGTGAGTACGTTGGCGTCCTTTCGGGAATAAGAGTTTTAGATATTTAGGATTTGAGAAGAGAAGGGGTAGGGGAATATTGAGCCTCCGGTACGTTACTCACACAGAGAATCATAACGCTGTGGTTATTTCACGCTGCCACGACCCATTCGTGCCGAAGCATGGGTCTACTTGTTTAAAATGGTGTCTGTTTAGTTAAGTTAATCCCTGGTTTATTGGGAAAATGTGTCACAATTTTAGGATCTAAGTACATAAAAATGATGATTTTGTACATGGAATTTAAAGTCCTGATAAATTTGCCTCCTCGCTTGACATAAGATAGTTCGCGTGGTCGTCGTCGCGTTGCCATAAACGCAACTTAGCGTAATATTAAAAAAATGTTGGTTAAAAAACTACTTAAAAGGTATACCTGTCACATTGATCTTTGCTGGTCAAGAAATAACCGGAATAGAATCGTATTTTCGTACCAGCAAGCTTGTACAAGAATTGTGAAAAGTGTGAAATTTTCCTTCAGAACTTTTATTTTATGCGGGTCGTATTTTTGAATTAAAAGAAAACTTTATAGGTTTTAGAAACTCTTTCTAACAGTTTGACAACTGCACTTTAGTATTTGGCAACCGTCTTTCTTAGGTATTTTATGTCTTTTGGTACCTAGATTTTATTTAGGTTGTAATAGTACTATGACGGGCGGGGTTAGGGGGGTTATGGGGTCGACCCATTTTGATCTAAAGCGTCTATTCATATTATGCTAGCTTACGCCCGCGGCTACGCTTGCGTGATATGTTGATAAAAAGTAGCCTGTGTCCTATTGCGGAGTTTATCCTATGCCTGTGCCAAATTTCATCCAGATCCGTCCAGCCATTTTGGCGTGATTGAGTAACAAACATCCAAACATCGTTACTTTCGCACTATAAAATTAATAAGATGTGATTATTTGTGTTAATTATAAGTACGTACCTTAATAAGATTATTATTATCATTTAGTTATCTTACACATTGTAAGCTTCATTAACAAGCGAACGGTAATTTTCGATAACCTATTATGTCATGTATGTGAAACGGGAAGTATTTTTGTCAGTATGAGTATGACACTCCTTTTCTCCCAGAAGGAGATATTTGATGAATTTCGCCGATGAAAAAAGGTAAAAGGAAAAGTCTTTAGGTATGTATTATAACGAAGTTTATAAGAACATTTAATCTCAAAATTAGCTTTTGCCCACGACTTCGTTCGCGTGGAAT